GCCTCGTGTACGGAGAATATTGAAGCCGTTGCAGGTGAGATTACGTCCAATCTTAGGACGATAGACCTAGAGCAAACGGTCTCTCTCAGGCACATAGCCGTTTACTGCGAAAAGGACACGGCGTCAACATGGTACTTCAGGCGCTTATCAAATTTTCTCCTAAGTGTGCACCCTTTCTTGTAATCCAACCGCTTTGGGCTAAGTTCGTCGCCGTATCGTAACGCAGGATTAATAAACGGAACAGGCGTGACATAAGTTTACCGCTTCTAAATACATATAACTAGAAACGCGGCTGTTCGTCTTTCTTTCCCCTTCTTCTTTCTTTGTGCCACTTGTCACTTGCCTCCTTCCTGCTTCGGTAGAACCACCTTTCGTCTACCCAAACCAGCATACTTATCCACACGACACGCCAAACTGGTCAAAAGTCGCGCAACATGTCATCAGAATATCAATACTCGTTCACCCACATCTCAAAGACACAATCCGTCGATTATTCCGCGACTCAATACCGCGATCTGCGTCTTCGGGCTCTGCAAGCTTCCCCCGAGTCGTTCTCGTCTACGCACGAGATTGAATCTCGATTCACGGATGAAATTTGGAAGGATCGCATTCTTCAAGGCGATAGGGAGAACTTCGTCTGCATTGCAACGCCTGTCGACCCTGACGCATCTTCTTCAGTGCAATGGGTCGGTCAGGTGACTTTGCGTGGCCCGGCGAGCAAGCAGGACTTTACTCTTCCCGAGGTTTCCGGCCAACCCGTTCCTGGTGAAGACGATGAGGAAGAAAGGTGGCAGATGCTCAGCCTTTTCATTCTACCCGAACATTCAGGTCGAGGGCTGGGGCAGGGTCTATGTCGGGAGGCTATTAGATACCTACAAGAAAATCGACAGAAGCCCAAAGCTGTTGTGAGATTGATGGTCAAGCCCCAAAACACCGCTACGGTTCATTTATACCAGAAGCTTGGTTTCGCAACAGTCGGAAAGTGCACACTGGCTGAGGCCCTGATAGCGAACGGAGATGGTCAATTGGTCCCTCAGGATACCTCTGACGCCAAGTACTCTACTCGATCATGCTTGATTATGACGTATAATATTTCATACATTTTATGCTTCTAAGAAGGTCCATCGACGGTGTAATAACCTCGTCGTCTAGAAGCCCCGATTGCCCAACAGTCCAGACAAATAGAAGGTTAATAATTGACAAAAGCGCTCTAACCCATATAATGCCTAGCTTTCATGACATTCTTCCTCATAGATGACCTTTATCAATCCTTCTTCTTTTCAATCTTGGGCAGACAAAGCCACGTGATCAGAAGCACCACCAAAATAGCAAGGATAATCGGTTGAAGCACCTGCACTCCCTTAGCTTGCGCGATTGCACCAACAGCAAAAGGCAGCACCGCAGCACCACTACCTCCAAACGCCGCAATAAACCCAATCGCACTGACGTGAAGATGGCGCGGCAGAAGCATTGTCACAGCCACGATAACGCAGGGAAACATAGGTCCCAAAAAGAAACCCTGCAGGGCAATTGCCACAGCCGACACGTGGAATTGCGGCACCAGCCAGAAGATAAGCTGCAGGCCCATGGTGATGGGAATAAAGATCGTGAGGGAGAGTTTAACACCTAGCTTAGGGATCACCATGCCCAGGACCATGCGTCCCACAGTGATCCCTAGCCAGAAGCCAACAGCCGTCATACCCGCGTCGAAGGGGTCTGCATTACGGATGCGCAGCATGAATTGTACGACCCATCCGCCTAGAGCTACCTCTGCACCGACGTAGCCGAGAAGAAACAAGGCACAAAGCCAGACGACACGAGCATGTGGCATCACGAAGAGAGCAGATCGCGTGCCCTGGTTGCGTGTGCCCTCGACAAGAACTGCCTCCCGGTATTTCTGGGCTGTCTTGGGCCAGAAGGCGTATGTGAGAGTGGCCGTCTCAATAAGTGCCATGGCCAGCTAGATAGAATAAGTCAGTTATTCGATTGCCCCCTAGAAAGGCCTTGGAACGGTAGGACTCACAAGCACATAGTAGAAATGGTACCAGCTCAAATTTCCCTGAGTGATCATACTAGTCGCAATCAACGGACTAACCGTCGCACCAACTCCATACGACGCATGCATAAATCCCAACAACTCGTTCGATCTAGCAAGATTTCCCATAAATGAATTCCACGCCGCAAGACCAATACCATTACCCAATCCTGCAATGACATACGCCAACACCAGCACGACATACGGCGGATGCTGTGATAATATTACGTATGTCACCGCGTGGCACGCGCCACAAAGGCAGGCAATCCATCGTTGGCCAAAGTTCAAGTGCAGCCAATTGTTGGTAGCAGCTGAGACGATGAAGCCGACCAAGGGGGAGAGAAAGATCAGAGAGACTACTAGGTAGGAAAGATCGTAGTATGTCTCGAGATATGGGATGAGTGCACCGTATGCTGCGTCGTTGGCGCCAGATACTAAGAGACTCCAGAAGACGGCGGCGACTCGAAGGGTATTTCCTTTTGGGTAGTTCCATTTCTCCACGGCGTGGCTGGCTGTTGGCGGAGCTGATGTTGAGTCATCTACTCGATTGGCCTGGCCGAAGCCATCGTTAGAACCAAGCTGACGGCCTGTCGTGGATAGAACTGGCTCCGGCTGTGAAGGTCCGACATTCTTGGCCTGTGACAGACTAAACGTCTCGAGCTCTAGAGTTTGCGTTGGGTAAGATGAAGAAGGCGCCATTGTCAATTAATTCCTGGCTGAGCTTGGGCCAGCGTGCGACGAGTGTCTTATCGGAATGTCCAATTTTTTATGATAAAACTCATTCTTGCTTACTAAGGAGAATTTGTGAGGGAGCTAGCCACATCAGGAAGGGATACGCGCAGCCCCTCAGTAGCGACTTGACTTGTAAAGGAAGGTATGTAAATAAAGTATAATTACAGAGAGGCATAAAATGATAAGATAGCGAGTAGAACCCCGGTCGTGATTAACTAGTAATCCCTTAAAAGACTATAATTCGACTTAAAGCCCCACCAACTTCGGACAACACAGCATGTCTCCTAGAACGACAGGTTTGTGACATCCCTCCATTTCTCATCCGTGGCGGCCAAGTCCTCCGCCGCCTTTTGAGCATACTTCGGCGTGTCAGCACCTAAGAGCAGTCTTACAGGAGGATCATCAACCTGAGAGATATGTACGATCGCACGGGCTATATCTTCAGGTTCTGATCCCGCCTCAGCTATAGCCTTCTGTCTTGCTACCCGAGTAGCTCCGACTGACTGCTCATAGTATTCTTTAACCGGTGGTTTACCCATGGACGACCCCGCCCAATCTGTCTTGATACCGCCAGGCTCACATGAAGTCACCTTTATTCCCAAAGGTGCAACTTCACGGCTCAAGACTGTGGTGAAGCCATTGACAGCCCATTTTGCGCTCTGATAGGCTCCCAAGCCTGGGGAGCCAACTCTTCCTCCAAGCGAAGAGATCTGAAGAATTCTGCCGTGTCCTTGTTTTCTCATGATTGGAAGAACAGCTTTGGTGACATAAACGACACCTAAGAAATTGGTATCGATCTGGGCTCGAAAAGAATCCAAAGAAGTATCTTCGATGGAACACTCATCCGCATATCCAGCGTTATTCACGACGACGTCAATTCGTCCAAAGGTTTTCACGATCGATGCAACGACGTGATCAACTTGTTCTGCGTCGCTCACATCCAAATCTAGAATGTTGACTCTTTGAGCGCCATACTGATTAACAAGATGTTGAATGTCTGCGGATTTGCGTGCAGTGGCTACGACGATGTCGCCAAAATCGAGTACCTGAGGTGCAAGTGCTAGCCCCAGACCGCGAGAAGAGCCAGTGATCAGCCAGACTCTGGACATTTTGAGCGCTGAGGAGAGTAATATGCCACGAAAGTCAATTATGTTGTTTAGAATAATATGAATAGATGATAATGGACGTTGGGGCCATGAGATATAATTAACCATCAATACGACGTTGTTGCCTTTTATAAGCACGGGTGTGCATCGCTCCTGTCCGGGTTTTGGTCTTATCTCCTAAGACCGTTGAACCCGCATGACAAAGTTCAGGCTTTGAATACTCAGCCCCGAACTTGTAAGACTGGCCATTAGCACTAAATGTCGATTCGAAAAATTAAATAGAGCAAAAACTCTTACTTTTCATCCCCAGCATTCTTTAATTGAGGACAATTGAATTGAAAATCCGGAAGCATGTAAGTCCCGCGTGAACAAACGTCTCGGCAACTGCGACACCCTATCTCAACCTCTTACCAGACAGCAGCTCGCCAATAATTTAAGATTATTTTTACCACGTTTAAGACATGAAGAGAAAAAAGTTTATTCCATACTACAAGTTAGGGTCTCAGGCTTTATTTGAGGCTTCAGGAAATTCCAATGTGCTATCGCTTACTATAGGGTAGCGAGATCTCAGCTGCTAAGTAAGAGCGAAACCGGAGAGCGGAATAGAGCGAGCGGAATGGGGCCGCCCGAGTCGACCAGCGACATTGCAGCAAGTGTCTCCAATTTGCTCATAAGCGCCTGTACTTTTTGCGTTCCGAAGTACCCGGTGAATTTTGTATAATCAACGCATATTAACGAGTTGTTTGTGGACGACGAACATACATGACGAATGGTGGCTTGTCATAGCAAAATCTTGCCCCTTAAGCCGTAGCCTTCACCAGCCAGTGCGGTCCCGCCTTGTTAATTCGCCTGTGGCTTTCTCATTATTGCTAAGAAGGTTGGAGACCAGGCAACACTGTAAATACCTCCGTCGTAGATCGATTGTATAAGCCAACGCCAGCGAAGTGATCTTTATCAGCGCTCGATCTGTTGCACGTGACCTTAGGCGGGGCTAAGCCTCATTCGGCCCCTCCCCTCGGCACACAACAGCGTAGGGTTTCTCCAACACAATGTGAGTCGTACAAAAAAGTGATGAATGACAAGATTGGCAAAATATGAGACAAGAAAACGAAAAAAAGAATGCTGTCTAGCAGCTATCGGTTTCGATCCGATGGCCTCCGGGTTATGAGCCCGGCTAGAGTATGTTAGTACGAGTTTTGTTTTCAAGATTCGTGTGTAAACATACCGCGCTTCCACTGCGCCAAGCTGCTTTCTTGGATGTTTTGTCGAGCTGTTAATCCACTCTATTCAGGGCACTGGCCGGGGTCTTCCGCCAAGATCGGTGTTTGCTAACTCATGGGTACCAACATCGGAGTTGGGAATGCTACAAAAATGCGATGAAAATTATTATCTAGACAACGCAAAATGGAAGCGGCGTACGCGAATTTGAGACATCAAACCTCGAAGAAAATACACTGCACTTTTTGCCTTGGCCCAATACTTCAAGCTATGAACCTTCGCGTTTTTTAATGGTCGATTAACTGACCTTTCCAACGAATGCGACCAGACATCCATGCATCGTCAGAATACTACCAGCATGGTCGGGGTGTCAGTGAGGTTCACATTCCAATCAACCAACTTATGCATCAATACCATGATATGTCAGTACCACCACATGAGGACATCGTGATATTTGGCCAAGCACCAGTGGGACTCTTGACCTATAGTGAGACCATTCAGGGAAGTAATTCCATCAAGGTTGATCATTAATAAGAGTGGGTTCGATTGAGGTGTACTGGTCTTATCAGAAGCCGGGGTACTTGGCAAATGCACCCATCAGTAGGTCAGGGCCAGAACACAACATCTACGAATATGCTTCTGTAATTAAAGGAAAAAGAGGTCGGCGTCAACAGTAAAGAACACGGGGTTCTTTTTTTCACCTTAGAGGTACTATGACCTAATACCTAGACAATTCAAAACCATAAAATTCATTTACCAAGACTTCGGGATAGATTCATAGGTAAACTGTGAGAATACGAGTATTGCGTATAGATAGAATTGGTTCGTCAAGGAAGGTCACGGACCCGCCCGTCAGATTGAAGTTCGCATACGGTTCGGAAGACGTCGAGACCCTTGAGCCGGGATAGCTTTTGATTTAACAGCCAAGCCGGCCCTGAGTGACCGGGGGAGACTCCTGTAGTTAAAGTCGCAAGCTATGCGCCGCGGATAATTGGGTAGCTCAACGCTACCTTCGTGAACTGCTGGAACAACCTCCCCTTCTTAGTGTTCTCTTGTGAACTAGAATCCTCCGGGGAGAAATTCAATATTCCGTTTCTTGGAAGAATCTCAGGTGGATATTTGCTTTTCCTACGGCGATGTTGGTCACCTTCCAATTCGGCGAACAGCTTTGACGTAAAGTAGTGAGTCTCCACGAGTCATGACATGTTAAATTGGAGCCAAAGCTCCTTTTGCGGAGTGAGGGGCGACAATCAGGGGACTGGTAATTATCGCTGCGGGGAACCATGGGGTTGAGAGGAGCTTTGGCTTCTGTACGAGCCCCTTCAGCCCCTATCTTAATGCACGTGCGTTCACTGTGGCCAACGGCATCGGATGAGATGAGACGACATATTCGCTTATCTGTGCTGCAACGTTCAGTTATCGATCGTCGATTCAGTTTTGTGTAATTATTTGTGCCCAGCTGTGGCCAATGCAAATATGACGGTTGTATGCCATAAAATAAATGGCAAGACCATACAATAATCGGTCTGCTTAAGAAGATACTGAACTGATGAGCGCCTGTGTTTATGCCAGTTGGTAATATTAAGGTAGAGATGGAGAATGTCATTTCATAAGAAAAGGCATAGAAAATTCGATAAAACTCTGTTAGAGTCGACGACGGGCAGACTATTAGCTATTAGCTTAGAGATAATGTCAATAGCGACACTCTCAAAACATTGGCCAGCCCTACCATTTTATCCCCTCCCCATTTTCGGGATTGGCCCGGACCTAAACGTCCATCTTTTGCACCAACGGTTGTCCATTTCTGCAAACAGTCGCCAGCCAACCCACAACATGCTGTCATACGACATGATGGACCGAGTCAGTTACGCCACGATTGAAAGAACTAGCATTTTGTTGGATGATCGGAAATAACACTACCCAGAGGTAGCTCGCGCCCGGTTCTGGCCCTAGCCTTGCTTGAAGATCTAGTCTAGAATGAATCCTTGTCAGGGCCGTCCAAGACTCTTGAGCTTTAGCGCAAACTCTGTTGGTACGCTAAATTGATGCGGCAGCCATCATAAGTCAGTTGTTTAGAAACAGGAGCATTGGCCAATGGATGGCGGTAGGGACCTCAGCCATTGTTACCCGTGTCCCCGAGTGTCATTTTACTTCCGCCTCAAGAAGCTGAAGATTACTCGGGCATTGTAGGCAGGAACATCACGACTTGAGACAGTGTATTACTATCGAAAATGCCCAGAATGAAGACCCTGGACGATCAACACGCCAACACGCAAGAACTACGTTCGAGACTTTTAGATATGCATACCATCCCAGCGATCACGCACGGGAACAAAGGAAAAAATCATACTCGCAAAAGCCTAGCCCAAACGTAGTGACGTTAGCCCAAGACCCGGCGCGTGTCAACACAGCCCAGACACTCCTTAGACTAACTACACGCGGACTTAGCTCTTCCACGCGGGGGACACGGAGAATCCAAGACAACGCCATCTCCAGCCGCATCGGTTACGCTAGGTACCAGTCCGGCAGCTCAGTCACACAAGATCATCGAAAAGTCGCTGATCTCCCGCTTTTGTCTCTCATTTATCTTCCCGTTGACCACGTTTCTTTCATTCTTTTTCGACTGCAGCACCTTTGATCCAAGGACTTGGCGGTCGGCTGTCGAATACCATGGACTACTTTGAGGTTTGCTGGTCGATCTTTAGCACTATCTGTCTCGTCAATGTCCTCTTCGGTGTGCTCGTCTGCGAAATTACTACGTTTACCATCCTTGCCGCCGTGCCAATCTTTTCTTCAGCAGCGGGAGCTATCGCGAACGGACTTTGCTTTTACGTTTACTATGAATCGCACCCTGTTATCAACGAAGTGGTGGCAGCTGTATTTTCAGACTTCTTCTGGCTGGTACATTAATCCGTCAACTCATACGAGTCTCGCTTTTGCTGACTCGAATCAACAGCTACAAGAAGCGAGTCTTTTACTTTACAGTTATATCATCCTACAACGCGTTCTTCGTCCCGGCCAATGGCGCGTCTTCTCAACCATCTTCTGGATCTTAATCGGCCTCACCGCTGTCAGTCGCGTCTTCATCGCCATCTACCGCGTGAAATTCCTACTTGAAGGCGTCGCCGAATACGAAGTTATCATCAACTATTTCCACATTGGATATTTCACTTTTATCGCAAGCTCAGAGTGTCTCAGCGCCTACTTCCTCGTGGTCATTTTCGCGTCGGCAAAAAGCAGCTCTATGAATGCGGCACTCAAAGTTGGCTTGCTGCGTTATTTGACACGAAGTACCGAGATGCGAGTCGCTTTTATGGCTCTCATCGGTGTCACAAGAACTATCATCCACCCGTTTCAGACTCCTGGACAAAAGGCGGCCAATCTGGCTAGCCAACTTGATCGCTTCCTCTACGCTCTTTTCTGTTTGTATCCCATGGTGTTATAGTGAGTACTTTGATCCATCCCGCATTTTCACGGCTAACCTTTTCAGTATTGATACACTGGCATCTAAGCTTCGATTCAACGAGGATCGATCGATGTACACCCACAGCGATCGAGCGGATCAAACCAATCGTTACGGGACGAATACTCAAACGAGATGCTATACAACAAGGTCCAACTATGTGTCCAAGATGTACGCTGGTGAGATTCCCTTGGATGGGAGTGCTTCACAAGAACAAATTGTTCAAGTAAATGGATCCACACGGTCGGGAGTCTCAGAAGTTGAGATGGAAGATATGGATGTCGAGGGGCTTGTTATCAGGAAGACCACTGAGGTCACTGTCACATAATTACTACTGATCTGCACGATACAGCTATAATGTTTTCTTAAATAGTTCATATACCCACATGCTTAATCAAAAGATACTCAAGAATATGTCCTCATTGCATTGAATAAGTGAGCCGTTTAACACAGTTATCAACGTGAAGTATGGGTAGTGTATTGGCTTGACGCAGGCAATCGAGTTTTATACTTGATTCGAAGCCTGCATCATCATCATCGATTCTAAACAGGTTTGCCACAGCCTAGAATCAACTAGATGATGATATTATTATTTAGATCGGCGTGCACAAGACTCTCAAGCTTTGGCCGGCGGGAGTAAATTCTCTGCCACTGAGGATCCAGATGAAAGCCATTGCGGGGGAGAGGGCAGGGGTCGCGGGAGATCACCACGAGAAGGATAGATGTTGACATTGCTCAAGACAATGATAATACGCTATCACAGACTGTCTATCCAGACCCCATGTGCTCATCGTCTCGCTTTACACATTCGTCCATCGTTTCCAACCATCAACGCCTCACTACCAACTCCCACGGTTGTGTAGAACAGGCTCTGAGGATGATACTTCTTCTTGATCTCAAGCAACTTTGTATAATTAACACCATAGAAAGTCTCCCGCCAACTCTTTTGTTGAAAGTCGGCTTCGTTGATATAAGCTCCAGGACTAGGTGTGGCAGCCTCAACCACAGGTTGAATCTCGTCCGTAATTTTCTACTGGGTTATCAGAATCTTCTCCCATGGAGCTCCATTATATCAAGGGAGTGTCCATGAGAACTGGACAATAGAGTCTCGTCACCGAGGAAGTACCGAGTTGGTGTTGTTTTGACCAAACTTGGATACGTCGAGGCCGACGCCGATGTAGATGACTCCCATCTCTTCAATTCTACGTGCAGTGGGTGAGAAGTCATTGAGCTTGTTGCGCGGCAGTAGACGTCCCCCAAAGACTTGTGTGCCGGCCTGAATATTTCCTGCCGGGAGAGGACCCCGGTAATGATCGTAATCTTCGTAGTAGTTAGAGCATTGGGTTAAGTCAGGTCGGAAAGTCACGAAAAGACTAGAAAAAGAATCAGCAAGCGGCGTAAGGGTCTTTTTCACCTTGGCTTCTGTCTTGTTGTAGGCAGTCATGGCGGGAACTTGAAGGAAAAGGTCGAAGAACAAGTAGATGATCATGACTCCCGAGTCGGCAATCTTGGATAGCACAGCATGAAAGACGTTGATACCATCGTAGATTAATTCTGTTTTGTCCGTAG